TCATACACATAAATAGAAGTGTTATGCACGCACGTTCACATGAATTTTCTGTTGGTGTGACATATACATAAATGTAAGTCTTATCATACACATAAATAGAAGTGTTATGCACGCACGTTCACATGAATTTTCTGTTGGTGTGACATATACATAAATGTAAGTCTTATCATACACATAAATAGAAGTGTTATGCACGCACGTTCACATGAATTTTCTGTTGGTGTGACATATACATAAATCTATCGTACGATATGAGGGGCGTTTTAAGCATTGCCTATTTTGTTCATTTTATAATGCAAATTTGTAATAGGCATTGCCTATTTTGTTTTTTTCATTTATACACTATATAATGTAGAAATCTATATAAACAATGTATAATAACGTATGGAAGTATATATACAGTGTTATATAAATTTGAAAAACAGAAGAGAAGGTAAATAGATTTGGCTTCATGAAATTCAATGTAAACATTTGTTGGCTATTCTAAATACAATAAAAACATTGGACTATGCAAATTGCAACTTAAACTGTTTGCTTATGCATTATATATCCCTCAATGTACTAAAGAACAATCTTTCCCTCAGTGAAAGTATTAAGAGAATAATCACACTGAGTAGTGGTAATTCATTTCAACCAGCAGGAGGCCCTCAAGGCTGAATGATGAAATAAAGCATGTACCGATTTCATACTTATTGGCCAACGACAAACTATTACAGAAAATTCGGAGTGTATGATCATCTATTTTTCCTGCCTCTGCATGCCATATAGTTCTGTTAATTCACTGAGAAGTAAGGGGAACTTGCAAAATCAACAGTTGGAACATTGTTAGTCTTTGGATGCTCTATCTAATGTAAAGAACGTGAATGTAAAACCAAGGATACAAAAAAAGTTCAGCTTAATCATCTTGAATCACCCTTTTCAAGCTTTTCAATTTCTTCCTGGTGCTTTCTCTCCGCTTCTTGGAGCTCTCTTTCAGCATCCTCCTCATCCTCCAAATCATCCCGTTCTTCAAACTCTTTAGTTGCTGCCATTGCTTTAACAACAGGATCCCTTAGCTCAGCAATAAGACCACCACCAACCCTGTATTCTTCTTCATCACCAATCAGGTATAGGCGTTGGTCAGGTCCTGCGGCCATTGGTATATCTACTGCCAATAATTTCATATCATACTGCAGACCGAGAAGCAAAATAAATGTTAGCATAAAGCATTGCTAGAATGAACAAGAAAACAGTTAGATTATTCTGCAGTGTTTATTTATTTATCTGATTGCGTAGTAACCAAATCTGGAAGCTTCAACTTCAGCAAAATCTCTAGTGAAAAGAGAGTACATGTCAGTCATTTAGAGTTAGAAGCACTAAACTCTACACGATCATTTGACGAACTATATTAAGGTCTCTCTCTGTTAGTCCAGATTGAGAAAGGTAGGTAGGACTCTAAACAATCCAGCTCAAATTGATTACAAAATCAATTAAGCCGAACTTATGCTCATGACATGAATATTAAGATTCATTATGTTTACATCTTTCTGGCAATAGGACATTGTGATACCTTCTTCTTTTGGTCCTTTTTGTTTTATTTGCTGGAAACATGGAAAAATAATGCTCGACAATACCAGATCACAAGCTTGACATCCTATATTCTATTAATAAAGCTTTTACTAAAATGTCAATGCTTACAGGCTCAACATCTCATAGGCCGAATTCAAACCGCTACAAAATTGTCATGCCAATTTAAACTTTTTAGTTATTACTTAAGTTAGAAACAAACTCAACTCAGATATCAAGTTAAGCTTTTTAACATACGCTGAGCTGATTTAGCAGATTACTATTGCGCGAAATTTTGATCTTGCCACCATGAGCACTTTAACCAAATATGCTCCTTTTCACTGTCACGTGAATGTTTATCAACTTTGATCTCGTCATGTATTTATTGCTTACTTCTAGACTTCTATACTCACGATACTATAAAAACTATCCTTTTTAAAGCTTTATATTTTCTACTTAGGCAAGATTAGTCCGAAAATAGAAGTTACTAGAAGATGCAGTTTTGAGCCTCATGACACGTGACAATGATCAGATGGGATGAGGAAATTGCATGGCGTTAAGCTTCATCATATAGAACAAAAGAAGTAGCTTATTTGAAATCAAACCTGGCCTTGCTTATTCTTGACTTCGACACTTACTAAACCTTTCCTCTCAGAGCCTCGTATAGGGAAAATCAGAAAACATCTTTTGCCCCTAAACCGTGGCTTGAAGTTCTTAAGGGTAACACCACCTCCTGACATCACATATGCTCTTAAGTCTGTTCCCGAGAGTGGAGCACCCATAACCTCAAGAATTCCAGCCTCTGTATTAAGTCTTCTCATTGCCATTCTGTACACCTTATCAGGGTTGATGGTAAATCTTGAGCGGAGATACAAGCCCTAATAATATAACAAAGCAAAAGGTTTCTCAGCTATAATTGTAAGAAGTACAGAGCATGCTCCGTCAGCAATAGTTCAAAACATAGCTAGAAGACAGAAAACTGGAAGAGTTTAATTATAGACCACACTTTTCAAAACACTACAAACTGCCTTAAAAGAGTTTTAAAATTGAATATAGTCCCAACCCCCAAGCATGAAGGAGTTTAAGCTCCATATAATGTGCACAAGTTTAAATGTTAACTTGGATTAACCATTTCAGAACTTTGAAATTCATAGTCCAAATATCAGATTTTTAAGAAACCAGTTATATGTTAAGCCTTTTATTTGCCATGTTGACAAATTACTATCAGCGCCTAAATTCTATTACTATTACCTAACAAAAAGGTACTTAGTAGACATATTTGTGGTTTTCATTATATTTTATCAAGTTAGCATTTTACTGATAAGCATCCAGAGGATGCAAAGCAAAATACAAGTAAGATGAGCTCCAGCACTTGTTCATTAAGTTCTAAAATAAGCCTCTTGGTGTAGAAATATTTGTGGTTTAATTTTGGGATAATCAGCAACTAGTCCTAATAGTTTCCGTTCCAAAGCTAATGATTCCAATTCTTTAATTAACAGTTCTTCTTAAGGCACATTATGCCATTGATACCAGCTAAGCCACAGTTAAGATGCCACTAGCATATTCAAAAACTCAGCAAAGAACAACTCAAACAATGATGTAATTTCCAGAAACACATGCTCATTTATAAATCAAAATAGTCCAACTCAATCGACTACAAGCATGAACTTGAGAAGAACTCACAGCAAAAGCGACAATGGCGGAGGAAAGAGCAAGGAAGCCATACTTGGCCATGCCTTCAGACAATCCAATAAAAGTAGTAGCAATTCCAAATAGAATCCTCCAAAGCAAAATGCACACCATAATACCCGCTGCACCAAATAACACCATCGAATTCCTCTTCCAAAATGCCTCCATTTGCAAACCCACCGCACCCTTGTATCGCAAAGTTGTTTTCTTGGCAGCTTCAACCGGATTCTTCAATACATTTTTCCCCAAACCCAATCCGGAACTCTTCAACGAAAAGTACCTAAACCCTAGTAATTTCCTATTCCACAAGAAACTACCATCTGGGTCTAACTTCTTACTAGGGTTTTGCAAAACCCGCGGAAATGGGGAAGACGAAAAATGGGTTCTCTGTGTATTCGAAACCCATTGATTAACAGCAGGTTTTTGGATAATCTTGGAATGATTAGAAAGGAAATGAGATATACCAACATTTGGGGTTGAAAATTGATGGGGTTTTGATAAAATGTAGTGATAAAAGTTGCTCAAAACAAACTTTGAAGATGATGATTTCGACATTTCCAGTGCTGATACAACTGGGATAGATTTAGATTCACGTAAAGCACAAACTCAAGAACACAACACACTGAGAGAAAAAAGATTTGATCTGATCACAACAACAAGAAGATAATTCTTCAGTAACTGAATATCAATAAGAAATATCAAAGTTGCTTTGTTCTTGAAGCGCCTCTAGAGAGGTCAATGAAAGTTTAGCTCTTCTCTGCAAAATATTCCGGTCAGCTATGTTGTCTTCACCAGGAAACTTTTTATTGGTTCTAATCGCACCCTTGAGAATGAAGGTTTGACGTTTCTTCCCCTTTGTGATTAGGTAGATTTCACTTTAGTCCTTATTAAATTAGAAGTCGTTGATTGATCGTATGGATACTTTTGGGGAAAATTGAATGAAATGATAAATTACTAATTCAAATTAAATGTTACAGTTATAAGATATTTTAATTGTAATTTGTAGTAAATATTTTATTTTTGTTATCTAATTTGATATATTCATTTTCGATATATAATTAGTTATTTTATACAATTCAGTATAAAATGTAAAATACGTTTGTATTTGTATAAAATCAGAGAAAAATGTATATGCAAATACAAATACATATATTTTCATCTTGTACACTTATAATTATGCAAATACAGATCTTATTATATAAATTGCAATATAAACATGAATTTATACAAAACTGAACAATTTATATAAAATTTGAATGTTTGTAGCGAATTATACAAATCAAAAACTCCATAGCAAGCATAAAAGTTGCTATGGAGCTCAATTATATAAACTACAACTATAACATACAAATATGATTTTTATGGTTGTTATATGTGAAAGTTGCTCTATTTTTTTGTATTTGAAGTTGAATTTCGAAAGATATATTTTTCCATAAAAAAATTAATATTTATCTTTTATATATATATATATATATATATATATATATATATATATATATATATGAGAATTACAGGTCCGCCTACTGAGAATTTGTGAATTTACTTTAATATTTTTTTATATATTTTTAGGTTTTTTACCCCTATTTATATTTGTTACTTTAAACTCATTTCTTCAACTCTTGCGTTTCTTCAGACTATTGTAACATTCGGTTGTGCCCTCTTCAGGAACTGCCTATAAGAACTATGAAAATCATATTCATTGTTATATTTTCTTCTTTGAGACAAATTTCATCCCTATTTTTTGTGGAAGTTCGTCAATTACTCAAAAATCTACTTTGGATCTTCACCCAAACAAATAATGTAACAAAACTATAATATCTTTGTAGCTTTTTCCTCCAATCAGCATGTCGAATCAGCATGTCGAAAGAAAATACATTTCAACTGCTCAATTCTTAAACAACTAATCACAACCATGACAATTTTTTAATTCATACCTATTTTTTGTGGGGGGTTTTACTTATGTCATCACTCTATCCGACAACTTACGTCAGTGTTTTATTCAACAATCTTTTAAAGTTTTATCTTTTACAAATTTGATTTATATTGAATTACTTTTGTTTTTGACTATTTTAACTTTTTAAGCATTCTTGATTGACCGGTATGGAAAAAACACAACCTTTCGAAAAAGTTACAACTCTTTGAAAAAAATCACAATTCATCGAAAAAATCACAATCTTTCAATATGAAAAGGTGTCTGCTTTAAACAGATTTTATAATATAAATAAATTTAGTATGAAATATTTTGTAGGATTTGGCCCAAGGCTTTTGTTATTAGTCCTTCTCCAACTTCTTTAAGATAACCAATAAATCGAATCAATGGTCCATAAAATTGCTTTAAAAATCTAAATATACAATATCTACTAAATTGGGTGTTAAGAAGAGTAAGGATAGAAAACTTAGAAACTTTATGATTTAAAAATGTAAGAAAATTGCTCTATTTTTAAAAAATAAATAAATTACATACATGATGGATGTGCATCTTATTTGTTACAGCAAGAACTTACATCTTGATGCACCATTGACTTCAAAGGAACTCAACAAAAGTTGCCAGTTCCATGACTAGCAATATGTACAAAAGTAAACTACTAAACTAACAAAGAAGTTGGCCTTGTCACATTTAATTCTCATGCTAGGTATTTGAGCTTTGTCCGGGTGATAAGCGGAACTGATGGGGATCTTCCGTTGGTTTTGAAAGATATGACTTTCCTCATAGATAGTACCAAATTTGGCTAGTACATTTTCCACTTGGTTAGCCTCTCTAAGACAATGTTTAATACTACAATTCATATTGTTCATTATCTCCATAATATCTTCGATTATAGTCTTGAGTTTAAGCTTGTTGGTGACCCAGTTCTTTATCATGTCCATAATTATCACAGAGTCTAGCTTAATTAGGCAATTAGTCAATCCATTTTGAGCACACCAATGTATTCCATACTTAGCCGTTTGCGCCTCTACTTTGTTGTTGATGTCGCAGTCCACCTTCGTCGCAAAAGTCATATTCATGTTGCCATAATCATTACTAATTATGCCAACAATGTTAGGATCGAAAATAAGTAGGTGTAAACGCGGAAGCTAGCAGAAAAAATCTCAAAAGACCACGAGTAAGAAGACAACGAGAAATATACCAAAAGACACAAAGATTTAACGTGGTTCGGTCAATCGACCTACGTCCACAAAGGAGATGAGCAATCCACTATAAATATGAGAGTACAAAATACATAGAGAAACAACCTCAACCAAATTCACTCAGAATACATGGGAGGTTCACACAAGTGATAACGTATCAAGCTTGTGACCCATAAATTCTCCCCCTAACCAAAACTCTCAAAGCCCTTAAGACTACATTGTGAATGCTGATTAAGTTAGAAGGAACATGCCTCTATTTATAGAGTCCTAAACCTTTTCCTACAAGAAAAGAATTAGTCAATCCAAAACCTTTTCCTAAAGGGAAAACCTATTTATGGTAATAAATCAGGGCAAATAAAACCCAACATCCAATGCCAGCTCCGTTGTTGGAGAAACTTCCATCGGTGTTGAGTTTCACCTTTCCCAAGTTTGATTTAATTTATTTGATCATCTTCTATTCGGTAGTCTGTCTAAGTTGCTCCACTGTTTGGCTGAAATTTCTCCAGGAATCTGCCATCTCAAATATTGAAAAAGCCAACTTAATAGCCATCTTGAGGTTTCACCAGATAATGTTCTCCATTCCTCTACAGCAAAACATCTTTTCTGTACCATATTTACAATAGCATCTTTGTCTCCATATCTCCCATAAGATTAAAATGGGAACTATGTGTAAGGTCATTTTGTGAATGCTACTTTTTGCTTTGGTCAACCACCATTTTTTAAGTATTCTTTTGATACTCGAATTTGTCACTGATATGGAGGGGTGCCCGAAAGTCTTCCACATTTCTCTAGCTATATTGTTGTCTATAAAAAGGTGTTGTCCAGTTCTCCTTTTATTTTTCTGCACAACAAATATAAAGATACTCTCTGTTAGTCCCGAACAATCATAGAGTATCATCAAAAAAGAAATTTCTATGGATGATTCTCCATGCAAGGAAAGAAATTTTAAAATGAAGTTTAGGGTGTCATACCTGATTGGTGGTGAAGTTCTAATCTTTGTGCATTCTTATAATGTTCCATGTCGATTTCGTAGAAAAATTACATTCTGTCTCAGGCTCCCAAACGGCCATGTCTTTCTTGGTACTCTTGCTAATATGGATATTAGATATGATTTAACCATTTGATCACGAAGAAATTCAGCAAGCTTATTCGTATCCCATCGCCCTTCTTGAATGAATTCACCAACTTTTACTAACTTTTATTTTAGAATAAATGGACTGGTTAGTGAAAATCTTAGCAAAAGCACCCTTTCCAATCCAATTATCCCTCCAGAAAAAAAAATTGCAGCCTCCATCATTGATCTTCCAGATAATGTGTGCTTCAACCCGGTGTTTTATTTGCATAAGTTTCCTCCAGGTATTGGGCTGAGGAGCGTTAATAGCTTCAACAACAGGGTGTACTCTGGTACAATATTTAGCCATAACAAATGAGGCCCAAAGAGATTGTTAGGTCATTAGGTTCCGCCATCTCTTGTACGCAAAACATTCACTGATATCTACAAGAGTTTTAGTACACATACCTCCTACTTTCTTCTTGTTACACAATTTTATCCTACGCACTCCAGTGGTATTTTTCTTTTGTCATCCTGAGTCCCCAAAAGAAGTTAGCGATGTACTTTTCAATGAGAGTGAGAGTAGTATTGAGGGTATTAAGAGTTGTGAGAGTATACGTAGGGATAACTTGGATAACACTACTGATAAGCACAACCTTACCCCCATATGATAAGTGTTTGTCATACCATCCAAAAGGTTTGGTGATGAATTTATTGACTAAATCATTAAAGTAGTAGGTTCCTCTTTCCGGTATATATAGGGCATCCCAAACAAGTAAAATAAATTTCTTGTGTGTAAAACCCATTTTATCAATGATTATATTGATCCTAGAGGGTGAAATTTTACTCGAAGTGCAGAAAAAACTCTTCTCCTTATTAATGTTTTGAGATTTTTTTATATAGCCTTACTTGTTTCATCAGAACTTTAATAGCCTTGCTTTTGCCAGTAGTGAAAATGACAATGTCATCTGCATATTCCAAATGATTAATCTGAGGGTCATTCATACTCATAGAGAAAGGGTAAAAATTAGGATGATTTTAAAGATTATATAGCATTCCTTGTGGAACTTTAGATTCCAAAATAAAAAGAGAAAGAGACAAGGGATCCCCTTGCTTCAAACCTTGGGACGACGTAAAAAACTGATTTTATTACCATTGACAATGATAGAATACCACGTCTGAGACATCCATTTCCATATAATCTTAGTCCACCAAACAGAGAAACCAAAGTTCGTGAGAACCGCAACAAGAAATTTCCAAGAGATCCTATCATAAGCTTTAGTCATATCTAACTTTATCACAACATTGCCATCCACATTAGGCTGAGAAATACTTTGAATTATTTCATGAGCTAATAGAACATTATCTGTGATGAACCTGCCTTTCACAAAACCACTTTGATTAAGGGATATCAACTTAGGTAAAAGAGTGTTAAGTCTTCTGGCAAAAATCTTGGAGATAATCTTACTAGAAAAGTTGTTA